TTGGCTGGGCGAAGGCGCCGGCTCCGCCTGCTGCTGCTGCTGCTGCTTCTGCTGAACGGGCTGCTGCTGCGGCTGCTTTTGCTGCTGCTGCGGTTGCTGCTGCTGCGGGGTGGAGTCCTGCGGCTTGGGCGACGGCGCCGCCGCAGGGGCGGCCGCCGCCGGCTCTGCCGGAGGCACTGCTGCTGCGGCCGCCGGTGCGGGCGCTGCCGCGGAGGCGGCTGCCGCAGGTGTCGCTGGTTGCTGCTGCTGTGGTGCGGCGGGCGTTGGCGCAGCTGCAGCGGGCGCGGGCCCAGCGACCGGCGCAGGCGGCCGCGGGGCCACAGCCGCAGGCGCGGGCGCCGCCGCCAGCGGTGGCGGCGCGGCGGCGGCGGCCGGCGGAGGTGCATGCGCGGGCTGCGTCGGCGGCGCAGCCAGCGCTGCGCCGGGGGGAAGGCCGTTGGGCAGCGGCACGGGCGCGGGGGCCGCGGCGGCGGGCTCGGGGCCATAGATGGAGAGGATGTCGTTCCTCACGTAATACCCCTTGGGGTTGGTTTGGGGCGCCAGGCAGAAGACCTGGGAGAAGCGGCGGGGCACGGCCTGCAGGAGGCGTGGGCGGGGTGGCGAAGTGCGTGTTTTGGGGTGGAGAGGCGAGGCTCAGGGGGAGGGGCTGGAAGGGAGGATGCTCCTGGCTGATGCCATCCCCCCTCCTGCAGAGGACAGCACCAGCGGCCACCGCAGACGACACCAGCCAGACGACACCAGCGACGGGGCAGCCAGGGAGGGCGATGGCCTGCGCGGCGCACCTCGTTGCGCAGCACCACGGTGCCGCCCACGTGCATGACAATTACGCGGTCAATCGCCGGCGCCTTAGGGGCCACGCCCGCGGCCGCCGCCGCTGCCGCCTGCTGGTCGGGGCTAGCTGTGGAAACGCCGTACTGGGCCTGGGATGGGGGTTCAGAGGGGTGGTGTCCGGGTGCGCCTGGTGAAGCGGCAGTACAGTGTTGGGGCGCCGCGGGTGCGTGCCGCTCGCCAGCTGCGGTTGTTGCTTGCCGCGCTGCAAGGCGGCCGGGCAAGCGGGTGCGCAAGATGGGGCCGGCTGCGGGCTGGGCCGGGGCAACGCGCCGCACCTGCAGGGCGGTAACAGAGACCTTGGCGCCAGGCACAGTGCTCTCCATCAACTGCTGGACGCCCTGTAATACATGTGGTGTGTGTGTGTGTGTGTGTGTGTGTGTGTGTGTGTGTTGCATGCACACAAGAGTTGAGGGCAGCTGCCCCCTAGGGAGGGGGCCGCCCGAGCCTGCGCTACGCTCTGCACCCCGCCAGTCATGAGCTCTGTTGCTGCTGCCCACAGGACCGGGGCAGCTTCTGTACTCTCGCGCGGCATCGTGGCTCTGCTGCACCGCGGCGATGCACTCATCGGCAGCGGCGATGCGCACCTCGGGGCCAGTCCCTGACTTTGGCTGTGCGTCTGGCATCGTCACAGTGAGGACGCTGTCATCCTTGAAAAATCGCATGAATAGCCGTGGGTTATTGCCAAGTACATCATAATACTTCTTCTTGAACTCGTCCGCCACCTGCGGGCCAGGTGATCTACGTCTCAGGCCAGGAAGCAGGCAAGTAGCAGGCGTGCCCGCCGCAAGTCGCGACTTCATGCCCGCCCTAGGTGCAGCCCCGGCTGTGTCAAGGCCGCCAAGCTCGCCGACCGCGGCGGGAGCAGCAGCTCGATCTACCGCCTCAGGGGGCCAGCAAAGTGCTACGCACCCAGAAGGCGGACGGAGCGGCCGCCATGGGTAGCCGTGGGGCTGAGCTGCTCAGGGGGGGCTCTGATCACTGCACCGTGGGGAGCTAGGATAGACCGGGCGGCTGGAACCAGAAAAGCCCGCTGAACACTTGTGATGCACGATGAGAACTGGGAACAAAGAATGGGCACGCACGTAAGTGATGGGGGTTGTGTCGGCGAGCCACGGTAACTGGCAAGCGTTTAGTAGAACTCGAAAGCTTGGCTCTCCCACGAAGATGTGTGCTGTTAGTCAAGTTGAGTGGCACAGGAGCCGGCATGAGCGGTTGGTATTGTGCTAGCCAGGCAGCCGCTCTGGCATCATTGGGATGATCTGGAGCGCCATGCTCTGCCGCAGATTCACCCTTCCCTTCTCCATTCCACAGATCTTGCATCCCACTGTAATTTGTCGCAATCTCATTGATGAAGCAGATGCGAGCGTTGCTGCCTCATGGACACATGTGTGCACAAGTCCAAGTCGATCCTCTCGTTGAGACCGTCAATCAGTGCTTTACAAAGTTTTCAGCAAGTTCACAGCATAATACCAAAATACCCATGCACTGGCCTTGATGCAGAGAAATCGAGCGGCTTGACCGAGAGAACAGGCGTACACAAGATTGGAAGCACAACGGCTTGCTTGCCTAGAGCAGTTGAACTCACACACTGGGCGTGGGCGCAGCGGCTGTGCAATGCACAGGGCTCACAAGGCGTGTACCTGTCACACGCCCACCCGCGCATTGCGCGAGGTGGAATTATGTAAAACGGGGCCTTCCGCAAAGCCCACCGCTAGTTTTTGCCACATGTGCGACAAGACCCATGCGGCAAGGCCATGCAAGTGGCAGCTGTTGTTGCTCGCATAGTGGTGGCACAAGCGGCCTGTTGCTCCCTGAGAGTGCGCAATGCTGCCTTGCTTTTCCGATCACCCCCGCGGAGCCCTTCAGCCCACATGGAGACCTGACGCACCAAGTGTACAGGTTCAGTTTGGCATTGTGGTTGAATTTGGTGGCTGCCATGCTCAGTTCAAGGAGTGCAGTCCCATGCTCTGCGCCGGCCCTGTACGGCGGGCATGTCGCCTGCGCACACCACACGTTGCGGCTCGAGCCAGCCCGCGTGACCTGGCGTGCAGGCAGCGCCGTGGCCCCCTCCAGCTCAACCGTGGTTGTGCGCCGCACCGGCCGCGCCGCCCTTGGCCGCCGGCTTGGCGTCGGCCGCCCCGTGCGCGCCGGCCCCGTGCGCGCCGGCCCCGTGAGCGGCGGGGCCGTGGTCGGGGTCGCCGGTGGCAGGGCAGGGCTTGGCGCCGGGGGCGGTGAGCGTCTTCTTGGACCAATCAGTGGTGAGGGCGCCCTGGGGGATCAGATCGCAGCAGAGGTAGGGCGCGGCCGAGGCGTCGTCGTAGATCACGAGGCTGCGGGGCGCGTTGGGGCTGGCCAGGTTGATGGTGCCGTCGTTGGCGCCTGGTGGTTGGTGGGGGGGGGAGGGGGGTGCGAGTGGCGTTTTAGGGTTGCAAGCCAGGGGTGTGAGGTTGAGGATGGGCGAGCTGGCAAGGTGAGGAGGGTGAACCGAGCTGTGCGAACCAAGCGCGCGATGCGGCGCCTTTGGGGCCAGGGGGGTGCTTTGGGCGGTGAGCGAGCCTCACCGTTGCCGAGGGCGGCGCCCGTCTTGTTGGTCTTGCCGGCACCCCACCACAGAGGGTTGGCTGCGCCCAGGGTCAGCGCAATGGAGGGGGTGAGGCGTGGCCCGACCACCACCAAGTCAAGGGTCAAGCGCTGACACGTCTGTGACAGTGCAAAAATTGGTCATCCACTCTGTCCTGCTTTCTCAATGTGGGGTGCGGCACGCAGCAGGCTGCATGCACGCGTCTGCCGCACAATGCATGCGCACCAAGCTGCCAGTCGCTGCCGCTGGGCCTGCGCTGCTGCGTTGAAAAAGGGGTGCGAGCAAGGGGACGCACCAGGGTCGCTGAGGTTGCCCTTGGGGTCAAAGTAGAAGCGGCTGCCGGCGCCGTCGGCGCACTTGGAGGTGTGGGTGCGGCCAGTCATGGAGTGACCGACGAGGGGCTTGCCGTTCTGGCTGAACACGGCGTTGATCTGGCGGGGCGCATGGGGAGGGGTGAGGCGGGGCACCCGCGCGCCATCACTGGCAGCACGGTGAGGGGCTGCCGGGCGGCGGGCCCTGCGGGCTGCCACTTCAAGCGGCGTCGTGCGTGCCGGCCGCGCCCGAGGGTGGCGCCCGCCATTCGGGGTACGCGGGCTGCACGGGCGAGGGACACGGCTTCAAAAAGCCAAATGAGGGTGCGTAAAGATCATGCGTGAAGTTCGCGCGCCCACCTGGATACCCGCGCTGAGGTTGCAGGTGAGGTTCTTGTAGAGGTACTGCCACACGGTGGCGTTGCCGGTGATGGTGATGCCGGCCGGCGGCGCCTTGGCGGTCAGCTTGGCGGCGGGGGCCTTGGGCAGCGCGGCGGCGGTGCCGGGCGCAGCCTTGGACTTGGCGACGGCGTCGGCAGTGATGGGCACAAACTTGGTGCAGAAGGCGACCTGTGGGTTTTGAAGCGGTGGAAATCATTTTTGACCTTGTGCGGGCGGAAGAGTCCGAGGTCGGCGTAAACGGAGCACCCAAGGCAGGGGCGGGATGGCTTCGCTGAGCACAGCCCAAGGCCTGGCGGCCGCCAGCGTTGAGGCCGCGCGCGCCGGCAGCTTTCTGTACGCATTCGGCAGCCACGGGCTTGCCTTGGAGCGGACGTAGTTGGACGTCTCAGGGGTGGTCTCGTGGAATGCGCCGCTGGGGTTGTTGAATTTCGAGGCGTTTCGTAATTTGAAACAAGGGTGGTTAGGGCAAGCCTCATTGGCATGCAGTGGCCTGGGCGCCCTGGGCGCAAGGCATGCCGGGGGGGCTGCTAGGGGTGGCGGTGGGGCGTGCGTCCTTGTGTGTCCTTTGCGCCGCAGCCGTCCTTGTCACCGCAGCGACAGGAACGCCGCGGCGGCCGCAGATCTCTTGCGGGGACCCGGCCCCATGACCGAAGCACCCGGGTTCCCTGGTCCCTGCAGGTGGCGCAGCCCTATTGCCGCTCACTTGTGCGCATTTACGCAGGCGGCAAGCGCCGCGATGGCGAGGAGGGCGAGGGCGCAGCGCATGGCTGCTCGTGTGGCGGTGGGCCTTGTTGGCGGCTTCCAAGACTGGGTCAGCACACCGGAGTGCGGCTGCAAAGTAGTCTCAGGAATCACGGCCGTTCAGCTTGCAACCGTACAAGCGTTGTAAAGCCACGCGTGTCACACACTCCGGGGTGATGTGGGTGCCGCCAGGCTCAGAAGTAAAACGGTACTTCTCGTGCAAACTCGGCCGCTGCTGGATTATAGCAACTGGCAGTGCTCCCATCAATAATTAGAATCGATGAATCACCGTTTTGCATCCCTCTCACCCGATAAAATCGTCGCGAGACGCGGTGGCTGATCACATCTCACGTTGACCTGCCAGAAACGGAAAGGCGCCGTTAGTGGCAGACTATGACCTGAAACGTGGCAGACAATCATTTTTATCTGAATGAGGAAGGCTGAACCAGCATAATGTTGACTGCTTGGCATTGGCTGAGCAGCCGGGCCACTCGTGCTGTGCTGCATGAGCCGGGCCTTCCTGCGACGCCTGCTGGTATACAGTGACGCATGCTTTGTGCATACATGCACACCAGTGTGGACTTTTCCTGACAGACAGCACGGCAATCTGCCCTCTCCTAGTGACGTGACATGTTGCAAGCTCTTGCGCCCCATCACTCGGCTGCCCCTGGTCCCTGGTCGCTGTCGCCTTCGCTGCCGTCCACCCCAGCGCCAGACCCGCCGCTGCCACCGGAAGGCGGCCCCACGCCGCCTGGCGGGCTGCTGCCGAGCAGTTGATGCACAGCTGCAGGAGACTGCGACGCCTCCACCGCAGTGGTGGTCGCCTGCGCCGCCCCCGTGCCCGGCCCACCGCCACCGGCCGCCCCGCCGCCCAGCTCGCGAGCGGTCTGCTGCTCCTGCGTCCGCGCCTGCTGCTGCAGCGCTTGGCCCCTTTTCTCCAGCTTGTGGTGCAGCCACTGCAGAATCGTGTGGAATGCGTCGTCCCGCCAGCCCCCCGGCCCCAGCGGCCGCAGCCACGGCATCGTCCTCTGCCCATACGGGTCCTCCCACTGCCGCATGTAGTGGTACTGCTCCGCGTTCCCCTTCATCTCCTTGACCGCGAGCCGATGCAGCTCCGGGTGCGCCAGCCATGCGAACCGCGTCCACACCGCCGCCATCGCGCGCTGCATGCGGCGGACCCTGTCCGCTGGTATTCCCATTAGGATCTCGGGGATCTGGGAGACGTCGGCCTGGGGCACGCGGACGCTGAAGGCTTGCCAGCGTAGCTGGTGGCCCCAGGGGCCGACGACGCGGTCAATCACGATGACAGGGATGCTGGGGGGGGGGGGAGAGGGAGAGGG